TCTTTGCTGAACACTTCTCGTTCTTGCATCGTGTATTATTCATTGCAGGGACGAATATCGGCCAATGGTTGTAGGCATCAGCCCTCATAACTTGTGATACATCAGATCTGGCTTCTCGTTTCTTTTTTGGCGGCGGTTCGTTTTCTTCGTCGCTTTCGTTAGCATTCAACATTGAGTTGCTCGAAGTTGGTTGCAATGGCTGAATTGTTGATTTTCTCAACAGAAATTTCGCTATCTCAGATTTGAGATGATATAATCTGAAAGTTCCATGACTTGTTGAACCATGGCTATCACCACGACGAGAATTCATGATAATCCATGAGTTAATCACCATTAAATCAAAAATTCTCCAGATAATTCTCATGTACCCACGTTTTGATTTGAATGGAATTGGATGTAAAGCCACCAACATGTCCATTGTATCGACTCCCCCCATAAACTTGTTGTACTGATTAACTATTGGAGGTGCTATGACATCAACTTTACATCGCTTTACTTTGTCCCATCGTCTTAGTGTTTCTTTTGGTTCTGTCCCAATGTGATTAGAGCCCAGAAGTACTCTCTTCGAGTCTTTCCATGCAATCACATTACACGTTTCATCGTGCGAGATGAAAACTTCAGAGAAACCTCTCTCTTTCTTTTCGAACTGTTTATCCGTTGACACTTGACACTTCTCTAATCGGTTAGATCGTAATGTACAAGTTACTCTGTATCCCAGTTGAGTCATTTTTTTAATTAATTTAGTAGATGCGAAGTAATTGTCGACAAATATCGAAGAGCCAGCAGGAACATTTCTGATCAAATCGAGCACTACGAGTCCCGAGGACCCATATTGCTTGAGAAGTCTTTCGCGCTGTGTATTAACTGACTGAACATCGTTGGATGTTGTTGTTGTTGTTGACCGACGAGAGGCACGTTTCAATGATGAGTCAGATAGGACTGACGCACTGGACACCGGTTTCGATGCACCACAATACAAGATCATCTCATTGACAAAAGCTGATACTCCACATCGAGTCCAGACTTTGAAACCTCTCTTGGTAGGTTTCTTTGGCATGTATTGCCGGAAGGATGTTGGTGCTGTCGTTCCCTTATAAGCTATCATTTGCTCATCAATCGACAAGTTCTTCTCTGGTTCGACAATTAATTAGTTTGCATCGTTGATTGAAGTAACGTAGGATTGGTTCAACCTTTTCAGACTTGTGTTTTTCAATTGAATTATCATGGAAATGAAGTATTGATAATAAATACATTATTCGATCGCGTGTAATGACATCCGCAACCATTGGTTGCCGACAGAATGATGACCAATAATCACGTTTGTTAGGTAAGGGTACTACTGATGAATAGAAGAGAAAACCGAGTAAGCAATTGAGGTCAGCCTCCGTCATAAGCATTTGTTTCGTTTTCTTGGCTTGAACTCTGTACAGGTTTGATTGATCGGCAATGTAAGCAATCAATTCCGGTGTAAAATACAGTTGAAAAAAATCCATCGGTGATGGATTCGCTGGCATTTTCGATTCAAGATCATTAGATAACTTTAATTCTCCATCATAGTAAGGTAGATTAGGTTTCAGCACTTTTCCTGACCACGATTCTAATTGTGCTGCAATCATTGTAACTCCTTCATCATCTGATGATTCCTGTGATCGCTCAGATTCGCCACTGACACTTTCTTCGACATTGTTGCTATCAGCATCACTTGTATCAGAGTTCATTGAATAAAGAACATCTTCATCTGAAGCATCGCTTTCTACCAGGTGAGACATATCCACAGTATGTTTCAATTGTGATCTAGAGCAAGACAAATTTGCAATACTATTTGTGTAAGCCTTGTTTTCTTGTCCGTTGGTCAGTGAACCAATGTTATATTGTTATTTCTTCTGAATTAACCTTTTAATATCCAAAGATGAATATAACCGATACACTCACACTTTATTATAAAAAATCAGTAACTGTATATAGGTTTATGAACAATGCGTTAGATATAGTACTGTCCGAGTTAAAGGAACTTCCCCAGACAAAATAGGGAGAAAATCCATCATTCAACAGAAAGGAAAGAAAGTGAATAGCGAAAGTTACATATGGGAAACATCCCAGAACATAGAGAATAACGCGCAAAAGTATATATATGCATGTTTAAGAAGAATAGCAGAAATAATGATATGATCTAACCGAAGGTGAAGATCATAACAATTTGTACGTAGAAATCAACAGAACGAAACATGTGCAAGAGCCAACAGGAAAAAAACACGTTGTCCGCTCTGACAATAACACACCTATGTGCATTCCCTTTCAGTGAGATAGATGAAAGCTGATTCAAGATTTGTTTCATGGATATAGAAAAGAATAATCCTTAGTGGGAGGAAGTGCACCCAGCATTGACAGCCATCAGCGTAGTTCTAAGCAAGATGTCAGATAGTCGAAAAGCTTGGATATGCAATATTCGAATAGTTCTCTCGTGGTTATTCGATTTTAGAATATTTCGGACCGCTAAGACCGAATGTCCCTTCCAAGGGACATTTTCTATATGATGCCATAGTGGACCAATTTATAGGTTTGAATGACTTCGCCCAATAACCCTCTGACAAATCTCACGTAATCCAACAAAAAAACAAGATTTCACCCTTTATTGACAAACCTGAAGAGAAAAAAAGCCATCTAAAGCGTGACACACTGTTAAATCTATCATTGCTCCATCCCTCAGCTACCCAAGAGTAATCTTTTTATCTTTTCCTGATCTTTCAGGTCTTCTCACTCCCAGACAACGTTCAGCGGTCTGTACAAACCTCTGTTAAGTGTTTTGTTGAGCTAATCGCAATGTCCCTTGGAAGGGACATTTGGCTCTTAAGGGTTAATTAAACCTTTGATTCTAAAATAATAAGCAATTTTCTGGAACTGCTAAAAGCAAAAGTTTGGACCCTTAAGTACTGACATGAAAAGTAGAAAGTGTATTTCTCCATAAATACAAGAGATGGAAACGAGAGTTTTTCACCATAAATAATCTATGATGTCTTCTATCTGATGATGTGTGCAGTTGGTTTTTTGCACCTGGTTTATTAAATCAAAAGTCTGAATTTCCAGAAACCCTTGTACGTTGGATTTGTTTGAGTATGTATGCAAGGGATTGCGTCTAGGACGAAGGAAAAGAGCTTTAATCTAGTGCATTCCATCACGAGCTGTTCGAATCGATTTTAAAAAGTTTGAGCTTTCAAAACCGTTTCTAAAAAACTCATATGGATTTTATAGAAAACCCTTTGAGTTTTCAAGGATCGAGTTTTCAAATTAGAAAGCTCTATCTTATGAAAGATAAAGGACATCATAGACTATTTATGGTCAAAAAGTCTCGTTTCCATCTCTTGTATTTATGGAGAAATACACTTTCTACTTTTTTCATGTCAGTACTTTCGTGTCAGGATCCAAAATTTTGCTCTTAGTACTTCCAGAAAACTGCTTATAATCTGGAATCAAAGATTTAATTAAACTAAAACTTTTGAATTTTTACATCTTCAGACATTCTTTATAAGATGAGCATAGCTTAGAAGGATCGGAGGTGATCATTGAGCATGTGTTGTCGAGACTCTCGTGCGATGATTCTATACATTGTTGGAATTTTATGACTTGTTTAGCTGTGAATAATAGACGGCCTTACAATACTTATTTCATTTTCACTCTGCCATGGGTAGAAAAGGATTTTTTATTTCATTTTTGTGTTGTTGAAATTGATTATAATCGACTAACGAATCCAAAATGTTTAAATGGTGTAGAATATTTCACTTTATCCTGTTCATCGCCAATGACCTATTCAAAATTAGCAACTATATTAACTACCTACTACCCATATGTAAGATCACTTCGAATCGATGACGACGACTTTAAATTAATTGATAATGATGGTAGTAATTCCAGTGCTATAATAACATCGAAAATTGGTATTAGATAAAGAAAAATGGTTGGCTATTGAAAAAGATATCGTCAATTTACAATTAGTTTTTAATGATCATTTATTTGGTAGCGCAGCTAGATTGATGGTAATGAAATGGACTGCTGACAAAGACCTTGATGCATTTAGAAAATATTTTGAAGACCAGTGGTTATTATCATTACCATTTTGGTATGAAGGTAGTGCAAATCTTAGTCCATCTACTAATAACGGTCTTGAATCGTTGAATGGTAAAATCAAACTAATGTACACATTACGTAACAAATTGTCATTGTCATCATTCTTACAAACAGCTGAACGTATGTCGTATGACTGGTCATTAGCTAGCGCGAATACACCATTTGCTATTCAAATTGAATTTACTGATGATTTGGCAGCTAGGGCATATCAATTGTTACAAAAACTTGATCGAACAAAAGTATTACATTTAGGTGCAGCTAGTTATGTTGTACCTTCTTCTGAACAAAAAACGGGTACATCATTATGGGTACAATATTATCATAGTATGTCTAGGAATTCGTACAATGAATTTATTGACTGGTTAAACTCTGCGCGTTTAGTTGATTTTTCTCGTTTAACTCCACCATTATTTTGTTCATGTAAATATGGCCTTAAAGAATACTCTTGCGTTCATTCATTGGGCTTATTAATGATGTGGGATCATCGTAAAGTTCCACAGCCACTTGGGACAAGAAGGGGAAAGGGTCGTCCAAAGAAAGTTAAATTAGCTTTAACAAAAGACTGAATATTAGTGAAAAACTATTGTAATCTAGCACTTTTTTTGTTCTTGAACTATTTTTCTCTTATTAAATATACTTTACTACTGACAAAATCATTAAATAATTTTCATAAATTAATTACCGAGCTCGTTTCTCTCTTTTTACCGACGAAAATAAAATCTACCGAGCTCATTTGTCTCTTTTCAGAGTATAAATTAATTTCCGAGCTCAAATATCTCTTTTTCATTAGATTAATATATTTCCGAGCTCAAAACTCTCATTTATATAAAAAAATATAATTTTATTACAACCGAGCTCATTTCTCTCATTTTAAAGCCAATTAAGTACACCGAGCTCAAATATCTCTTTTTTCCGAGCTCATTTAATTTCGCGTCCGATAAAAAAAGTGTCGACGAAACAAGAATCAAGCTTAATTGATTAAAAACATAGTGTCGAAGAATCAAGATAAAAGAAGTGTCGGCGAATCGAGCAAGATATCAGTGTCGACGAAACAAGAATACCCTTTTTTATCTAACCATAAAATCAATAATTCTCTCTCTTAAGCGAGAAAAATACATCGAAATCTAGATACCCCTACAGCAAAGAAAAGTATCTACGCATAATAGTAAAGTGCGCGTTAAAAAAATACAATCGAACGTCTCTGCAATATCACTTTGTTTCTGCATTCAAACAACTGATAAGAATTTCTCTAAGAGAACCGTTAAAAGCTTAATTAACAAAAAATATACTGAAACCAGCGATCTTGTCCCACCGCAAACTATGCTACATTCAGCCTTTAATTTGCTTATTATCTGGTTATCGCTTTTTTTGTATCTGTTTTAGTACTTTATCTCTTTTTCGCTCGCCTCTTTTCCTCTTAACTCATTTTTACAATATCAAAATATTCACAATAATATAAATAATAGTTTCAGGCTTCTTTGTTTATAATTAGAATGGTGATGTTATTGCTCCTCCCGCTTGCGTAAGGTGATGTTGAATGAATTAAATCGAAGTCGATGTTTTCGATAGGAGGAGTAAAAGAAATTCGCAAACGAAATGAAAATGGGGGCACAGAACAAAGCAATAACTTAAATTAAGTTAAAGAAAATCGATTCGTACTAAATAATATGATAATCGAAAATAAATTTCTTCTTCTTTGATTTGAATGATAAAAGAACAACAGATGTACGAACGAGATTTAAATTGAGTCGAAGGCGAGGTAACGTTGCAAAGTATACGGACACGAGTCAAATACAAAAAAATATAACCGGATGTGTATCTATTTTCTTGTCCATAATAGAAGATGCAATCAATAAACGACACTCACTCTTATGGTTTAAGCTCGTTTATTCTGTTAATTTATACTCTATGTAAGATCATTGATGCGAAAGAAGAAATTTGCTAGACTATGTGACGAATTTACAGTGTTTATTATTATTATTTTAGATTTCTCTTTGTATTCTCTTTAAAATCTCATGTTTAAAATAAAACAACAACAACAACAACAACAACAACTGAAACGTTGGTCACAACAACGATATACTCGAGACTCAACTAAGGACTATCAAGTTAATATTAGAACGTTTTGTTTATAATTTACAATAAAATTATTTTCTTTAATAATATTTCTTCTTCTTCGTATGAACAGTGTAAAATTTAAACAAAATGATGAATATGAAAGTTCGACGTTTAGTATTTCGTCTCGTTGTTATAATTCCATTTATATGGTTAATTATTATATTAGCTTTATTACAGACAGGTGATAATAATAAAAATACGATAAATGAAAATCAACGAGTTCATCGTGCCGGACGAGATGCGGATAATATAGATGCATTCGGTGGAGCTGATATTAAGATTAGAAAGCCAAATATTGATAAATTACTTAACAATTTTAATAATCAAAGCGTTAGTAGCGTATTAAATGATAATATTCGTGTTATACACGACAAACATGAACAAGTTGCCGCACCACAAATCGACAAACATGACATAAACGGACCAGGTACGCATACATTTTCATCTACAATATTCGTGAAGCAAAACTACATTTGTATCACTAAGCTCAACGGTTAAGGTTAGCGAAGTGGAAGAATTATTGTTTTTTTAATTTTAATGTCGTAAAAAAACATGAAGTGATTTGAAGATCTTCTTAACGCATGATTATTCTCATTGAATATGTACCTTTTTTTTATTTATTTGTTTAGGAGAAATGGGCAAACCATTTGAGGTGAGTAGAAATATTGTTAAAAATTTACTCTAAAGATAGAACTTCTATTTCTAACTATGAATACAATGCTTTTTGAATATTCTATTAGGTTGATAAAGAAAAATTATCACCGGAAGAACGTCAAAAATATGATAAAGGTTTTCAAGAAAACGCATTTAATCAATACATTAGTGATATGATATCGATACATCGAAGTTTACCAGATGTTAGAGATCCTGGGTATGTTTTCTCATCAAAACTGTTGTGGTTATTGTTATTGTTACTCAACATTATTTACGTCTTATAGATGTAGAAAAATGCAATATTTAGACAATTTGCCATCAGCATCTGTTGTCATGTGTTTTCATAATGAAGCATGGAATGTACTATTGCGCTCTATTCATTCAATTATTGATAGAACTCAGCCAAATTTATTGAAAGAAATTATCCTAGTGGATGATTTTTCTGATATGGGTATGTTATATTAATAAAGAGTAGAAAATGAATATAAGTAAAGCATAAACATTATTTAGATCACTTGAGAAAACCCTTAGATGACTACGTCGCACCACTTAAAAAAGTATTTATTGTTCGTCAACAAAAACGAGAAGGTAAATTAAATTTTGTTTTTATAACAGTAAATATTGTTTATAATTCATTCATTTATAGGTCTTATTCGCTCGCGATTAGCTGGAGCAAAGACTGTTAAAGGCGATGTTATTGTATTCTTAGATTCACACATCGAAGCAACAGAAGGTATATAGATCTCTCTCACGGAAGACTTTCATCATATTTTTATCGTGAATCTATACGGTGTGCTTGAACAATTTGAAAATATCAAAATACGAAAATCTCGTCTAGAGAGATCTGTTTATTTCAACAAAATTTTAAAAATTACCGACATCATGATTTTCTGTTGATTCATTCTTATCGATTTTGATTTAAATCCGTGCTTTTACCAACAAGACTTGTTTGGTTAACTATTAATTAAATAGCGATACTTCGATACTTCAACTCTTGGATCTTAGAATACAGCCAAATCTTGTTATTCAAAGTCGTCGATTTCTACTTCCATAGAGTAACAGATGTGGAGAGCGATATTTAACACTTTTAATTAATTAATGATTAACAAAACAAGTCTTGTCAGTAAAAATATTTATTTGAGTCAGAATCGTAAACGAGACATTATGATGTTGATAATTTCTGAAATTTTGTTAGGATAAATGGATATATCTAGTCGAGATCTCACAATTCTTGAATTTTGAGTTTTGTTCCAACTATGCTGCATAAAGATGAAAGATTTTACAGTGATTTTATTCCAGTGTTTTGCAATGTGCGATTAGTCTACTTTTATTTTGTTCTTCATCAATAGGTTGGTTAGAGCCTCTATTAGATCCAATAGCACGTAATAAATCAACTGTGGTTACTCCTGTCATTGATGTTATTGATGATACAACATTTAAATATAACTATGGTGCTG